TCCTCTTTTTCGTACCCGGCTACCATGCAAAAACAGCCACTACTTAAATGAAAGGAAAATATATTTCCCCCATAATATATACACTTTGCACTTAAGAATAAGACCTGCCTTGATCACGTCAGATGAGACTGTTGAGCTCGTGTGTGTGTGTGTGTGTGTGTGTGTGTGTGTGTGAATACCAGCCTGGAAGAAAGAGAAAATGCAGATCTGATACTATCTTGGGCTGTAATTCTTCCAGACTCATATTTAGCTCCTTGAGGCCGTTCCACCCTGTCCTGCAGGGAATCGGAATCTACTCGACAGCAGTGGCTTGTTGCTGTTTTGAAGAACTGACAAGAAAATGTTGCTCACAGGAAAGATGTGTGGAAAGCCAAGGACCAGGAGGGAAGGAAGAAGCGGGATCAGGAAGTTTGTCAAGTCGATTCAGTAACACCTGTTTCAGATTACAAGTCTCTGACTTGATTAGAGGCACGCAGTTTTGGAGTTTAAACATACCACGCGTGATTCCCCAACCACCCCTGGCAGTGCTCCAGGTGTTTGTGATTATGTAACGCCCCACAAAAACCATCTGGATTTTGTCAACTCTCAAAAGTACTGGAAGTACAGCTTGAGCCCCCACCCCCACCTAAGTCCTCTGCAGGCATTAATTTCTCCATATGTCTCCGTCTAGTATTATAAACTAAGCGAACAAAAATTCTCATTACCATCAAGTCGACTTTATAGAAAGAGTGGCACGCCACTGTGCTTTTCTGAGGCTCTAAGTCTTTACGGGAGCAGAAAACCTTATCTTTCTCCTGTGGCTTGGTTGATGGCTTTGAACCGCTAACCTTGTGGCTAGCCGTCCAACACCACCAGGGCTCCTTGCATTTAGATCACTTTGCAAAATAAAGAGTGAATAATAAATAACAATTACCAAAGGGTCAATGTTTTGTTTGTTTTGTTTTCTCCCAAACACAGACACAGGTATGGTGTGAGGCTTTCTTAGGGAATAGGAAACATTAGATTAAGTGTAAGTTTCGTGGATCAGACTTCTCTCTCATTCAGCATTCATGGTGATGCTCATTTTCCTACTACCACAGCAAAGAGGGCACCCACACCAGGGAAGGAGAGAAAACGTGAGGGAAACGTCTGCTTTTTGAAGCCTTTGGAAAACTTTTTCTTGGGAATTGGGTTGAGGTCTACAGATCGGATCATCAGTTTGGTATTCAGCCACTTTCTGTTTTCCCTCCTTGCTTGCGATCCTCTCAATGGAGCAGGACCCATCCCACTTTCCTCCTACTGTTTCCAGTTTGCATTCCTTCTTCTGTCCCAATGGCTGACCTTTGTGATCTGGAGAAATGCTGCCCTTTTGATCTACGGGGTTCTGACCTCCCTACAGTGGTCCTCTCATTGCCATCTCGATCTTGTAGAGCGTTTTTTTACAATCGCTGGCATGAGAAGGAGAACCGTTGACAGATAACGGGGTCAGGCACATCTTCTCCGAAAAGGACCACAGGGTATATCTAGGAGTATGTCAGATGTCATGAGCCACTGACTCAGGAGCTCAACTCCTCAAGCCGGCCGTCCTAGCGTGAAAGCAGCTATAGGCGAGCCGTAAAGGAATGAATGTGGGTCTTTGCTAATGAAACTTCATTGACGGAGGCTAAAATTTGAGTGTCCTATTGCTAAGCTTTTGATCCCCCCACCTACCCACCCAACCCTTGAAAAATGTCAAAGCTATTCTCAGCTCGTGAGTCCCACAGAAACAGATCACAGTGTTGTGACCCCTGGAATAGAACATCATTCAAAAGGCATGTCTTCTTTAGACTATTGTGCCTTTTAAAAAAGAGGGTGGTTTTATAGTAATGGAATGGTAATGTATGGATATGGTAGATGTAGAAATTAAAAAATCAAACGGCACGTAAGCCTGTAGGACAGAGTAGAACTGCCTCATAGGGTTTCCTGGACTGAAATCTTCCTGGGAGCTGATGGCCTGTGAGTCTCGTGCGGTTGATTGTTCTCAGGAGCATGTACCTCTCTGGTGTTCTTGTCCATCTTATAGGCCTGCTTTTCACTGGGATGAAAGTTGAATCGTGGAATGAGTTTCATTCCAGGCTTGAAGGGGAACACAGAGCCACAGTCTCAGAGTTCTTTGGCGTTGCATTTGCCAAGTCGACAGGCACCACCTTCTGAATAAGCGATCAGATTGTACCTGACGCTGAGTTGACTCATTGTGTTGAGTGTGGTTTGGGGCAACTTAGTCAAAAGCTCCCTGATCCCCCAAAGGTGTTGAGATAGTTAAGGTTTATTGTGCCAACCTGGCATGGAAAACCCCTGCCAGTGCTAAGATGCTTACACGCTCACTGGATTCAGAGATTTTCTACACCCTGGCCTGTGATCCTCCTGCATTTGGCATCATTGTGTGTGTTTTTTGAGATTAAGGAGAACTTTGTAGATCGGTGTCAGACATGTGGGCTAAGTCGGACTTAGGGGTTTAGACTGGACGGAGTTAGGTTGCTTTTTGAATGTACACTTACCCTTTATACAAACATACCCTATATACTCTCTTATACATATATGAGTTTCTCTGGATTTGTTTCCCTAGTTTACCCAGACTAATACAGGTGTCCTGGCGTCAAATTCAAGGTCCGTGTTGTCAGCTTCATATTTGCCGGACCCATTTTTCAGACAACTGACAACCATCCAACCCATGAGCATCCAGAAGTGCTTGGCTTTCAGTGCCGCCTGCAAGAGTCTAACGGCAGTTCTCGGCAGCTGTCTTACCATTTTCCATGTGGACAGACAGAAATGAGTGAAATGTTCATGGGGATGTATGTATTAGAGCCTGGAAGGACCAACCTGGTCTTCTTTAGGTTTAGCACTTCTATACAAAAAGAGAAGTTTAAAAAATATCCCCAAAGCCCTGTCTCCCACTCCTACCAAGTAAACCTGAAACCTTGTACATGAGGGATTTGTCGTTGTCAAAAACTAACCGGGAAATTGTACTGTTGCTCTTATTAGTAAGATTATTTGACTGATTGTATGTCTTTGTAGTAACATAACTTGACTTGTCCTGTGTTAAGGGCAAGTCTTGCATAGGATCTGTTTTATTTGCAGCTAGAAAAACCAAGATTTGGAAGCGAAAGAAAATCGTGGACGATCATTATTCGGACACTATGAGAGTAGACAGGTTTTCTCACCAATGTTAATGTAACATTAATGCAACATAATGTCAAATGAAGATCATAGAAACCAAAACCAGAAACCAGTTTCTATCTTGCCTTTAAAAATGGGACTAGCATTTATTTCAATAATCAGAACAAGGAGGCGATGAGCTAGACATACCGGGACTGGCTGGCGTTGGGGGTGGGTGCTGCTGGTGGGTGATTGTTGATCATGGACAAGTGGGAAATAGAAAATGCCTATCCCAATAGAAATGTGTCTGTCCAAGGGTGCCAGCCCAGCGGTGCAATGGACCACCCATTCCAAATGAGATCCAAGACACGTGGAGGTTGAGCAATCTCATGGCCAGGGCCATTTAGACATTGCCTCAGGGGCCATAAGTGGTGGAAAGGGGTGGGGGAGGGGAGAAGATAGCCTGTCCCTCCCTTTGGTTTCAGCTCAGCTGCCTTGAACTGTACCCAGGGTAGAAAGGGGAGTGTGGGCTGGCATTGCTAGTTCAGTAAATATCAAACTCAATCTTGTCGCCATTGAGCCACTTCCTGCTCCTGGCAACCCCCTCTGTGTGTTAGAGTCGAGATGTGAAACCCACTCATTATTCTGAAAGCATTAAAATACAAACCTCCATTTACTTAATTGGTGGCTTACTTATTCCAGGTATTATTTATTGAACAGGACAACTATCTATCATAGAGAAGAGATTTTAGAAACATTTTATAGATCCCAAGTGTGGTCTGTGGACTGAGGCTATAAATCTTTTGGTGGGGGGGGGAGGGTGTCAAACAGCCTCATCTTTCTCCAGAGGAGCTGATGGTGGGTTTGAACTGCTGACCAGTAGTTAGCAGCCAGACACCTAATGCACAGCACCACCAAGGTTCCTCAAAGCAAACCAACCTCACTGTCGAGTCGATGTCAACTCATAGTGACCCTATAGGACAGAGTAGGACTGCCCCTGTGGGTGTAAGAGACGCTAACCATTTACCAGAGTAAACAGCCACATTTTCTCCCAAGAAGCGGTTGGTGGGTTCTGTGTATTCAAGCTGCTGTTGTGGTTAGCAGCCCAAGTGTAAGCCACTGAGCCACCAGGGCTCCTAAATAGGACCCGTCTCTTAAAGGGCAGCTGAAGCTGACTGCTCCCTTCCCCCTTCCACTGCCAGGTGAGGTTTAGGGACACACAGCTTGGGGACCAAGAGTTAACAATACTGATAACAACCTTTCCGTAGTTATCCTTCTCTCTTACTCTTTTTTATCAATATAGGGTTAATTATAAAATGAAACCATGGCAGCATTTGTGTGAAAAACACACATGCATAAAGGTCGGAGCACCATGGCCTGGCCCTCTAATGACTGTGGTTTCTTTGGATTGTTTTACTTTTTGTCCTTGCTTTTCTCGCCCACAAAAAACAACCCCCTCCAAGGAGTGACTTGATTTCGTCTTCTTTCCCTTCACCCTTGTTTAATACACACTGCTCATTTTTTCTTACTTTCTCACATTTCCAAACTTTTTTTTAATCACTGTGAAAGCCGAAAAAAAGAAGGCTGTTTCTCATGCTGAAAGGTCTTTAAAAATCCTCTTTGGGATTTTTCCTTTTTGATAGAGGTGGGTACCTGGCAGAAGGGCACAGTTTCTTAGTTGTGTGTTTCCTTGCCTTTTCTCACTTCTGTTTGCTTTTTTAACACGCCCCCCTGGGGTCCAGTGACGTTGTCTGGGCTAGTACAGCCCTTTCCCTGAGGTTCTGCCCCTCCATGTTCTCAGCATTCTGAATTGCTCTTGACATTTTTCTGACCAACTCTCCACAGCCAACTGACACCTATTGTCTTCTTGTGTGTGCTTTATAAAGGTCTCATACCTGCTGGCAGGGGGGAGTATGGCCCATGAAGACTTCTGTGGACACGTTGGTACCTTGAACCCAGGAGACCTGCAGGTATGGTCAAGGACTTGCTGGGTAGTGTGCCCAGTGGATCCTCCCTTTTCCTAACCCTCTCTACCCTATTTTCTTTCTTTTTAAAAAAAATCATTTTCTTGGAGGGCTCTTACAGCTCTTATAACATCCCATACATACATCCATTGCATCAAGCATATTTGTACATATGTTAACCATCATCATTTCCCAGAATATTTTCTACTTGAGCCCTTTCTACCCTATTTTCTACTCCCTCCTTCTTATTGCACCTGCCACGTGGCCTGGGGCCCTGCCCACGCCTCTGGTCGGCTTCCTCTCACACACTTCCCTTGACTCCTCAGCCTCCTTTGAACTTCCCCAGCCAGTCTTTATCTGCTATGTCTCCAGATTAGTTTAGAGGGATAGTCCCCACTTATCTTCCATTTTCTCCTCCACTCACTGGCACAGGGCGGGGCAGTGTTGCAGACTGCTCTCGCTTTCTCCCACCGAGCAGCAGGTGGGTTTGAAGCACCGCCCTTTCAGTTAGCAGCTGAGCACTTAACCACTACATCACCAGGACCCCTGTGGCCAAGCAAGGAGGCTATATTGAATCCAGATCCAAGGTCACAGAGGGTCGATGGGGTGTCTGGTTGGATGCACTTTGCAGGGAAGATGGCAGTGCTTCACATGGAAGCAAGAGTCTTCCAGGAGCACCAATAGCTATCTTCAGACAAAAGTGCCGGATGGGCAGCTCTAGAGAGCTAGCTCCTTTTTGAGTGTCTGGCTGCCTGAAGCATCCACGCAGCAGTGAAGACATCAAGGGTCTCTTAAGCAGCAAGGGTGCACCAGAAGAAAGGCCTGGCGATCTGTCCCCCCTAAAGATGACAGGCAGGAAAACTCCATGAAGCAATTCTACCCTGATACACATGCGGTTGCCAGTGGTTGCAAAGGACCCCACAGCAAGGGGGACTCAACAGCTTTTGTTTCTCTGAAGGTTCGGCCCAGCTCCAGAGCGCCCCCCTGTTGGTCTGGCCGAAGCCTTTGTTGTAACTGCCTTGCCCTGGGCTTCTCCTCCGGCATGCCCAGTCCTGCCTGGCTCACCTCTGACAGGTGTATGTCCTGACAGGTGTATGTCCTCCTGCCACCCAGGAGGGGATTAAACCCCGGCGGGTGTGCCTGTTTGGGTGTGCTGACTCAACACGAGGAAGCTCAAGAAAGGTTTAGAAAACTGGAAAGGGCTCCGGTCAAGCCATCTGCCATCCGTGTTGTTGTTGTCACCACCCCTCCTGTCACCCAGGATCTCTGGTAGCCTCTGTGCAGGGACTGGCTCTGCGAGGCAGGTGCCTTGTGCCTGTTGCCCTGCCCTGACACTTGCCTCTTGTTGGTCTGCTGTTGGCAGTGGATGACTGCTGGCCGGGGCATCGTGCACGCTGAGATGCCATGCACTGAGGAGCCAGCCCACGGGCTGCAACTGTGGGTGAATTTGAGGAGCTCTGAGAAGATGGTGGCACCTCAGTACCAGGAACTGAAAAGTGGAGACATTCCTAAACCCAGTAAGAACGGCGTGACCATTGCTGTCATTTCTGGAGAAGCCCTGGGAGTGAAGGTAAGTTGTGGGTGTGTGTGGGGGGGGAGACCCCTGAAGTATGCATTGCAATAAGGCTGCTCCCTCCAAGGTCAACCCTTTCAAAGTCTCTCACAGTTCTGGTCCCAGAATGCCAAGGGCAAGCCTTGGGAACCATGCTGACCCCAAAAGTTCAGACAATTAACAGAAAGCAGGTGCATGAGGAGGGGGTACCCCCCAAACGTATTTTTTTTCAAAGCGATGTATTTAAAAAAATTTTAAAAACAACATTATCACCTTCAAAGTATCCTCCATGATACTGAATCCATTTGTCAAATCTGGCTGACAGCACCTCCCTCGTTTTTTCCTTCACCTCTTCGACATCATCAAATCGCTGTCCTTTCATGTCCCTCTTAATTCTTGGAAACAAAAAGAAGTCCCACAGAGCAAGGTCAGTGGAGTAAGGTGCATGGGGCAAGAGAGGCATGCTGTTTTATTAATTTTGCCAAAACCGGTGCACTGAGATGGCTGTGTGGGCAGGTGCATTGTTGTGATGGCAAAATCAGTACCCCGTCTGCCACAAATTGGGTCTTTTTTGTCACACATTGTTACACAACTTTTCACAATCTCTAAATAGAAAGCTTGATTAACAGTCTGACATGGTGGAACAAAGTCCAAATGCACCATTCCCCTTTTTTTCTCCCTACGGGGTGGCTGGTGGTTTCTAACTGCAGAGCTTGTGGTTAGCAGACCAATGTGTCATCACTACACCATCAGGGCTCCTTTTGACCATTGACCGGGGATGTGAATAGTCTTGCTCTCGAAGAGAGGGCATTGCAAAGTGAATTACCTCCACACCCCTGATCAACCCAGGCTCCTGAAGGGACTTACCTGGGAGTGTCCTTGATGGCGATCACTATATTGGGGGTTACATAGTCATAAGTCAGGCCCTGCCTGCCTCGGGGAAGCCGCTGAACCCATACCATAAACTGCGCTCTCTAACTTCATCCACGTGACCCAATCATGGCCCCGATTGCACTTTGGGAGTCCCACTGGTAACTGTGATGTATTAATCTGCCACCAACCATGTTTTTGTGACTTTTTTTCCCCTTCCATGTCCATTTTAAAGTTCTGTATCTCAGAATAAAACATCAATCAAATGAGGGGAGTGGGTGGAGGCTGAACTAGGGGAGGGTTTGATTAGTGGTTTGGAAGGTTGAATGCAAAGTTAATGATCTGAAATGCAAATTAGGTGAGGGTTTACATTTCAGGTCATTAACTTTGCACTGGGGCAAGAAGTGCAAAACCTCATGACACAGTGGTGTGTGCAAGTCCGAAGTTTGGAACCACCAGCCACTCTGGGGCTGGGGGATGGAAAGGACAGAGCTTTCTACTCCCATAAACAGTTACAGTCTCCGAAACCCACAGGGGCAGATATACCCTGTTGCTAGGAATCAGCTTTGACTTGATGGCAATGAGTTTGGTTTGGGGCAGCAAGAGTTGGGGAATGGGGATGAACTTGAGACCTCGTTTAGTATGTCTTTTGATTCTAACTTTTTCAGTTTGACTTTGGAAAGATGCAAATGTTTCCATATTGAAGCCGTCAGAGGACATCAGAAAAGTAACCCTGCCTCCCACGCCCTGCCCCTTCCACCCTGGCCAGAGCTTACAAACGAAAACAAATAGAAACAAAGGAGCCACTCAGAGAAAAGAATGGCTCTGCAGAGTTATTATGATGAAGATTTGCTTCTCTGGCTATAGATTTCTAGTGGGTGCTACAGTCTACATCACAAAGGATGGTGATAAAAATAGTCAGGTTTGTAGTTTTATTGTGAGTGTTCCTAAGATCGTTTTTTAAAGAATTTTATGTGAGACAGGCGTTCCAAAAATTCACAGAAAAAAATGCCATTATCTTTAAATCCCATTTTCCTACAAACCCATTGAAGCCCATGGGTAGAGTATAGTACATGATAAAACAAACAAGTATCTTAGTGTTATTAGCAATGGACATTATTACATGATAAAGAGACCCAAATGGAAAGTCTAAATGTTAGGAAACATGCCAAATTAAATACTAAATGAAAACTTTTAAAACAGTGGATGGCCATGATCTCTATGTGGCAACTGTTTTGTAGAAACTTAATATGATTTGATCATTTTGGGTCTTCAAGTTTTTGCTGATGTATTTTTGGCTCTTTGTTAGGAATTGAATGTGAGTTTATCAAGCGCAATGGCTTTCTTATTTTTTTTAATCATTTTATTTGGGGCTCATACAATTCTTAACACAATCCATACATACATCAATTGTGTAAAGCACATTTGTACATTCGTTGCCCTCATCATTCTCAAAACATTTGCTCTCCACTTAAGCCCCTGGCATCAGCTCCTCATTTTTCCTCCTCCCTCCCTGCTCCCCTCTCCCTCATGAA